CAACTAGGGAGTTATTAGTTACAGACGTGGTATGCATGCCAGTACTGCATCCTTAGGGTAATTGTCATGCTTGTCACTGTTATTAAATTTTAATTACTTCTTTGAGAATATCACATGTGTATACAATATATTTTGTTCAAATTTACCTCTCTACCCCCCTCTAACTTCTCTGGGATCCAATTCCCAACCCATCTCCTTCATATCCTATTTATTTATTTTTTATTTATAACCTGCTGAGTACAACTTATGCTGCCAATATGCACGTGTGTATGGAACCATCTACTGGAGTAAGGTCAACCTATTAGGAGCCATACTCTTAAAAAGGCTGACTCTTTCTTCCCTAAAAACCAACAATTATTAGTGTCACCTCAGTTAGGGCTAGAATATCATGATTCTTTTCTACATTATTTCCAGTAGGTTGTGCAGGTATTTTTTTAATTATTATTTTTTCATTTGGTAGTAATCATACTCTTTCCTTTCCCAACCCCTCCCATATCTTTCCATCCTCCCTACCTACCCAATTTTATGCACTCTTTCTCTTCCTCACCAAAAATTAAACTAAAAGAAGAAAGAAATGAAAATTAACAATACAAAAAATACTCACCCCCAAACAACTAAAACAAATTTAAAAAAGCACCCACACATAAACACACACAAAACAAAACAAAATAAAAAAAAGGGTTTATTTGGGTTGGCCTGAGCATGGGGCCTGCCCTGGAGTGTGGTTGATATATTCGGTTATGCTCTTAGCTAAAACTGATATTCTCTTTCCCAGTGGGTGTCAATTACAGCTTCTTGGCTAGAGGTGGGGCTTTATATCAACTTTCCCTTCTTAGTGTTGGCATTTCCTCTATTTCGAACTTGGGCAGGTCTTCTCTGTGCTGTCCCAGGCACTTTAAGTTCAGATGTGCATCAATTCTAGTGTTTGGTGGACACTGTTTCTTTGGATTATTCTGACTCTTCTGACCCTTATAATCTTCTGCCTCCTTTTCCTTATAGATCCTTGAGCCTTGAGGACAAGGTTTGACAAAGATACCACATTTGGGCTGAGCACTCCAAAGTGTCTCATTCTTTGCATGTTGTTCAGTTGTGGATCTCTTTGTTAATTAGCATCTACTGCAAAAAAAAATCTCTGATGACAGTTGAGTGATGCTGATTTGTGAGTAAGTCATTAGGAGTCATTTTATTGCTCTTTTACTTTAGCAGAATAATAGCAATAGGTTTTCCATTAGGCCTCAGAACCAATCTATTTTTGGATTTTGGTGATTTTATCAGTGTCAGGTAAAGTTCTGTCTCATGGGGTGAGCTTTAAATCTAATAAAAAAGTTGTTTGGATATTCTCGTAACATTTATGCCACTATTATACCAGTTATCTTGTAGATTGGTTTCTGTTGTAGGTCAAGAGTTTCTAGTTGGGTGATACTGATGATTACTTTTCTCTTTAGGGAGTGTGCAAAGTACCCTCCAACACCATGAACACAGGCCGGTATGTGAATTATATACACCAGCTTGTGAAGTATGGACACCAGCTCTATTCTTCTATGTTCGATGTCATGAGGTTTGTCTTCATCAATAGTGCCTTACCATAAAGTTGTGGAGAGCACCCAATAACACTGACAATGACTTGTGTCACTGAAGGGATTCTATGGGATCCTTTGGCTAATAGCTCAATAAAATGTAACCCATTCCTGAAATTGGAATTTTACAAGGTGATGTAAGATGTCTGGTGGGGACATTGTCTCCCCTACTATTTTGTGACTCCATTTAAATTCTTTTCATATATGTGTGAATTTTAGGAAGCTTCTAGGGTGGAATGTTTCCATATGGATTTTTAAGAGCCCTTTAGTATTTGTTCTTCTTCCCCACACTTTTTCCTTTATACTGACCTCAATACTTGAATAATGTGACTTAAAATATACTAAGGCAGTTCATTGTAATAAAGAGACCTAAAGCAAAACAGTCCTTTTCTAATGCAAACTTCCTTCCATTAAGGCTGTTACTAAATTTTGGATTGACAGCTAGATAAAATTCTCATCTGTGAGATTCCATCTCAGCCCCTGTACCCTACTGCCTTTTTAGTTGTCTAGTGCTGTGTTTATTTTTCCTGTTGAACTGAACCATGGCTTTTCATATTCTTCACAAGTTAATCAGCCTGGGCACTATCTTGACCCTACAGCCTTTAGTTCAAACACACACACACACACACACACACACACACACACACACACACACACACACACATATACATCTGCCTTTTATTCCTTTGGAAGGCTCTACCGGTCCATTTCACAAAAGCTGTCTCAGTACTAACCTGTAAGAGCTGCCTCTGAGACTTTGCATCCCTCGATGGGTACCATAGTTTAAGTCTGTAGAACAAGGTCTCCTGGTTAATATTTCTGTACTTTATTACTAAATTCTATGGTGGGAGCAGGACTTTCACTGTTTCTTTGTAACTCTGTAAGACATTTAGTTATACTAAAGCTTAAATGATGATTTAATCTCTTTTTCAATCCATTTTTTTCAAATACCTGAAAAATAACTTGTAGCATGATTTACTATCAACAGATGTTAATGCTACTTTGCTAATAATTACTTTCAATTAGATATTCATAGCTGAAAATAATTCATTATAATAGTTAAATATGTCTTCTGAGGGGTATATTCAGATTATCCTATAGCCTTCCAGGGAAAGAGAACAGGAACTCATCACTTGCATATATATGATTTAAATACTTAAGGAAGTGGTCCAAGGCCCTTAGGTAAAGGTGTTAGAAATATTTCGATAGCTGATGCTAAGCCGAAGTTAACTTTCTTTTGCCTGACATTTTGTCTTATCTGTGTTGCCAATAATCTGTGTATATTTGCTATCTGGTGAAAGCATGGTACTTTCTGAAAAATGAGGTACCAGTTTAGCTCAAAAATTTACATAACACTGAATAAATTTTGGAAGTTTTGTATTGAAAATGATAACTTCCAGTCCTCACATTTTATCTCATAAAAAACACATTAAACAAGATTGGCACTAAAAGAACATATTTTTATATTTGAAAATTTTTATACTTTTAAATTTATTTAGGGAAATTCTATTTTTTAATTTATTTAGGTGTGTGTGCATGTGTGTATGTGTGTGTGCACATTTATGTGTGTATGTCTATGCCATGTATATGTGGGTTCTCACAGAAGGCAATAGAAAATGTCATATGCCCTATAGCTAAAATGACAGGCAATTGTAACTCAATATTGGTGCTGTGAATCGAATTCAGATCCCCTAAAAGAGCAGCAAATGATTTTAACCATTGGACAATCTCTCCCCCTACTTTGGGTAAATTTTAAATAAAATCAGTAACACTGGGCCATAAAGTAAATATTTGTACATGTTATGTAATCAAATATGATATTTTGAATATTATCTCAAAATGGAAAAAAATTTCCTCAAAATCAAAAAGCAATGACCTATGTTGCTTACTAAAACTCATGCTCTCTATATGCTTAGGTATCACACCTGACACTACATACACATGTATGATTAGAAATCTAATAAAAAATGCATTTTATACTTACAGTTTTATACTTATAGTATATGCTTTTGTTGAAGTCAAGAATTTCCAAAATAGCTTACGTAACAGAAAAATTTCATGTTAATAAGTTACCACACCCACAGTTATTTCTAGGGAATTTCAGATTCATCACTATATTATTGGTGGTGTTTTGTTTCACCATTTTTAGGAAGAAACTGATTTAAATGCATAAACAAAACATGAACAGATTATATGTATGCTTAATGCTCATTTTGATAGAGCTATTGGCTAATGAGAGATATATGGTGTAATCTGAGCAGAATAAGATGTCTTCAAACCCATGGTTTCACAGCATTCTTAGGCTTTGGTGATTATATGAAGATACTCCTTGGAAAAGAGCACCATGGTTGGAATGTGATTTTTTTCTTACATTTATTTATTTTGGTTTGGTGGTGTGATGTATACATATGTGAGTGCATATATGGAGGTGAGAGAATGACTTGAGAGAGTTGGTCTTTTTCTACCATATGGGTACCAGGGATAGCACTCAGGTCCTTAGGCTTGTGGCCAACTGCCTTTACATGTGGACCCATCTCCTTGGCCCTGGTTTGGTCTTTCAGTGAATGACTGGAACCTGTATTAATCACTAACACACAGTTTCCTGGCATTTGGGACAACATGGTATTTTTTTCTTTTCCCCTTTTATATTTTTTCCATTTAAAGGAGGAAATGCTGCTTAGGGTGTTACTAACTTTCCATATCATTTCCTTAAAAAAAACCTTTACAGGTATGCTTTATTTTTTCCAACTTTACTGTGATGTGACCTGGAAAGATGTAACTATGCATATTCAATATGAAAATTGTAATATGACAATATATTTTTATGCCCTAGAACCCTGATTGGTACCTTTATTTTCCTCACCAAAATGAGTGCCAGTGTTCTTAGCTTTCTTTTTTCACTTTTTTATTTTCTTTTTTTCTGAGTACTGTTCTTATTCCCAGCCATGATGGAAGAGAAAAGAATATTTTTCATTTTTATCTGTAAGCTTTGCACATCGGAATTAGACACAAAAACTTAAGTGGCAGAGTTGACAGGTGAAAATGCTTGGGAACATTTATAAATATGGTTTTGATCAGCAAATTACCACATTGTATGGTTCTCAGTTGAGAAATACTATAGTGAATAAAATACGCTTGTGTCCTCTTCAGAATTATCAGACTTTAAATAGAATTTTTAACATTTCCCAATGTTTAGAAATATTGTCACCATTTCTAAAGTTCAGAAAACAGCCATGATAATAGAGAAAGTTAAAACACCAATTCTAGAAAGACAACAATATCAGTAAACAAGGTCCCCTGAAGATCAATATGTGCTGTAGGTATGTATCTATTGAAGCAGAACTGCTGAGAAATGCTTCCAGTGTTTCGTGATTTGTGCTCAGCATACACTTAAGAAAACATTATATAATGATTAGACACTGCTCAAGTTATGACTGTTTATTAATGGAGCAAAGTTATTTTCCTGCAGTGACTCTTAGTGAAGTCAAGCCTAAGAGCCGTGTCCACTGTGGGCTAACGCTGACGGAGAATCATTTAAATTCACTCAGCAGCTTCACTGTGGTGACTGACGAGAGGACGGTGCTTCTCACGATTCATCTGTAGTCCGACAACGTTCTTCCCTCATTTGGTTTCCCAACCATGAATGGTTGCTTTCGACATGGGTTGGCACTCGTGGTGTGTGCTGGCGAGTAAAACTCCACGGCAAAGATAGAACAATGTGACTGACAGCCGATGTCCATGGCAGTGGCTCTCTAGAAGAGAGTGTGGGTGCTTCACTGACTCCTGTTCAAATCTCTCCTTCCTTTTCTGTTTTCTCACTCACACCTTCCTTTGTCCCTGTCCATCTCACGTTTCTTTCCTTCTTTTCCTTTCCCTTCAACCCACTAACTTAGTCTTCATCTCACAGTCCGTTTATTTTTGTAAACAGTATGCAGAAGTGTTTTACATTTAAAGGAACCACATTTTTAATGCCAAACAAGCAAATCCCATTCAGAGGGCACATTAAATATTGCATTTCATTTTTCACCCCATTATAGTTATTTTCTTGTACATCGAATCTTATGGCCACTTAAACACATTTTTCAGTAGATGAGACCTTTTGCTTGCTTTACACACCCCTTTCACAGTGTCTTAGCTCTCGACTCAGTTACTAAATATTCGAAGACCTCTACTGGCTTGCCCATATTTCAAATTTTGTACACGGTTCACTCTGCAGAATACAAATCTATGCCCACTCTACACAAGAAAATTGAGAGTTAAGATGTCTGCATCAGAAATAGCTTTAAAAATTCATTCATTTGGAGTGGAGACAGGCCAGCAGTTAAGGGCATGTGGTTTGTTTCTGTAAGACCTGAGTTTGGTTCTCAGATTATACATGTAAATCCAGTTCCAGGGGATTTGACCTTTTATTCTGGCCTTCTTGGAACACCCACACACACTTGCACAGATCCTCACATACACATAAATAAAAATAAATTTAATCTAAACATACGCACACATATTAATTCCTTCAGTTACATGTTCACATGGAATGTTCTGTTACGTTTTTCATAAAAGGTATACTTTTTGCTATTAAGATGTCTACCACAGTATCTTTATGTTCTCCATCAGCCTGATTCCTTTGCACCTTTCTTCAGCAACTGCTATTCGCTATTGAGATATTTTCTCTTCTGTATCATCATCACTATAAGGTTTTATAATAATGTTTAATGTTCAGAGTTTTTCTGTGAAAATTATGAGTGTTTACATTGAGATGGAATGCATCATAATATTTTTCTATTAAAACAAATAATGATAATATATGTGCATCTAAAGACAACTAATTTTATAAAGACATACAAATTAACCTATAAAGGATGTGTAGATGATAATACTCATGCTCCTCTATAAATCTTTGAATAACCTCTATTACCCTGGAGACCTGGGTGTTCCTCTAGAATGCCCTGTCCAAAGTTTCCCCAAGCTAGCTGAGAAAAGAGGGGATTGTTTATCAGGCCACCTTCATAACCCTGTTACAGCTGATTTCTAAATGGCCCATGCTCATTCTTTGCATCTTATTTAATATCATAAATCATTCTCCTAGTGATGATCACAATAGTATTTGTCCTAAAGGTTTGTTTAGGAATGAAATTATACAACTCACACAAAGTTCTACCATAATGCACAGTTCATCATACTATTCTGAAAACAGTAACTGAGTCAATTCATTAGGTTTAAATGTGTGACAAACCATCTGTGTATTTGTTAAACAACTTTGAAACATATCAATTTTTAACTGGAATGTGGTTAGCATGAGTTTATTATTTGCTTATATTCAATTCTACTTCATCAATGAAGAATGTTTCTGAGCTTCTTAGACACACAGTCTCAGATGAAAGCTACTTGGATTTGCAGGGACCTAGGTTAGGTAACCTTGGCTTCATTGTTGGGGTTGGATTATTTTGGCTTGGTTGCCAAGGTTGGGTGAACATGGGCCTCTTGACTAAGTTATGTAAGTATGAAAAGCTAATTCAGGTTCTTGCCATCTGTAAACTAGTCAGTTAACATATCCATGACTTTTTGAATATTATTTGGCAGAGTAATGTTCTCTTAATACCAGTAATTGTATTTATTTGTTTATATTTTTCATTTACTTGCTTATTTTGGTGTTCAGAGATCCATTTTCTGTAGTGCTGAGTGGCCTTGAATGTGCTCTGCAGCTGAAGATAACATTAAACTCCTCGTTTTCCTGCTTCTACCTTCAAAGTTCTAGGATTACAGCTGCTCACTATTACACACAGAATAAAATAAGGTATTAAAATGATTGTCATTTGATATCTTTTTAAGACAAATTATGGTATATCAATTTTGATATTAGAGAACTTACCTACCTGAATTTCTAATCTCACTATTTTCATTTTTGAATATACCAGGTGAATATACCAGGAACATGAAGGTTTTTATATTTCAAATTATTTCATGTTGCATAGTAAAATTTTGTTGATGAATAAATAAAATTATATAACTTTGCATGCTAATTGTACTCTTCACTTCAAAGAGATTTGGGCAGTGTGCAGGATTTTTGAGTATATACTACATATCATAAATTCTACATTCATAATCATAAATAGCTCACTAAGTTTCCACTAGAAATGAAAATTTGTGGTCTATTAAATAGCAAATGATCACTTGCAAAATTATCACTTTTTATGACATTGAGTGGCACCATTGCATCTGGTTTCAAAAGAATCAGGTGTCTGCATTAGAGTAGTAATGTGAACTGGAAGCTTTCCTTAGAAAGAGGCATGACTATGGGTCATGAGGAAGCATGGCTTCAGGTAAGGAGGCAATGCCAAGGAAAAGACCAAAATAATCATGAACATTCACCTGCAGAAAAGGAACAAAAGATGTGGCAATCGATATGGAGCGAGCTAGAAAGCATAAAAATAACAGGGCATGAAGATGGAAAGCTAGCAAGAAGCAGAACAACAGCAATGAAAGAAAGAAAGAAAGAAAGAAAGGAAGAAAGAAAGAAAGAAAGAGGGAAAGAAGAAAGAGAGAAAGAAGAAAGAGAGAAAAGGTGGAAGAGAAATAATAGAAGCTTCAAGAATCAGAAAGAATTATAGCAACACTCATGAGTGAATCTCAGGGTGAGCTTAGGTATACATGACCAGTTTCAGACAGAAATAATCTGCAAACTAACCACTTAAAGAAATCACCTCTGGTCTTCAAGTCAGGTAGGTCAATCACCTGCAAGGACAAAAAAAAAAAATGAAATTTTTAAGAAGATTGGGGAGGGATGGAAGTGTAGAGAAGGTAGTTATGAGAAGTTAGGGGAGGAGTTGAATATTTTCAAAATATATTTTCTTTATGAAATTTTTAAAGAATTAATAAAATATTTTAAAAAGAAATGGAAAGTATTATGAAACAAAAAGCAGAGTGTTATCTTGGAGTCAGCTGAGAAATGTTTTTTCATTTCAACTTGAAGTTTAGAGTCTATTAATATTTTAATAAATTTTTTGTTCATTGAAAATACGTCATTCATTAGCATTATCTACTATTTTTCAAGGCTGAAAGACAATCCTTCTATGTTAATCTATTTATTTGTTCAAACACAGTACTAATAAACAAGCAATTATTCCATTATTCTAAACAAATATGCTAATCACTTCCTAAGGTCACCTTTTCCAATATTAATAGGAGTGATTACAAGATTAAAGCATAAAAAAGGAGGCAAGAATATGCAAATGAAATTTACATTAATTACTTTGCAATGACAAGGATTAATGGGCTTATTTTAAATCAGAATCCATTCCTGCACTAGTAATCCACTGTCAAGACTAACAGTACTTCTAAAGTGACATTTAAAATCATGACAGGTATTGTATATGCATGTACTAGAAGGGTGACCTGTGATAAACTTGACTCAACCTCATTTTGAAGAAGTTAACCCTTCAGCTAAAACATCTTGCATGAGAGATGGCTTGTGTGTACATGAGTAATTGGGCAATTGAAGTAAAGTTGATTGAATATAAAATTTTGAAAAATTTCCCTTTCTAGTAATCTTAAACTTTTTTGCTTAAGTTAAAATTACTGTAGAGAGTTTATGTTATTAACTCAAAATTTTAGCATATTCATGCTTAAATAAAACAATATATTATTATATATGGATTGGACTATTTTTATGGTCCGGTTATTAATTGGACGCTTCAAGACCACAAAACATAAGACTAAGAACCCCCCCCCACACACTCACACACACCCTTCCACACACACAGAGACTAACATACAGACCCATACAATAAGCTTCTGGATTCATTGGAGAGAGATCTAGATCAACTCTACTCAAGATGTGTAAGTATTATCATGATCTGGTGTAGATGAGTCAAAGGAAGAAGATAGAGAATTAGGAAAGTCATTTTGAAATATGTGTTCTTTAAGTAAGATGTTTATGGAATAGACCAAATTGTTCTTACAGGCATTGATAAAACAGAAATTTAAGGCAGAAAAAAAAAGGATTGTACCCACTGAGCAAGTGTGTTGACCAAACACAAACCAATTTCTTGGGATGAATTTTCAAGATGCTTGGCATCCTTTTAGGTTTATGTCTTGACTGAACTAGAAAGCCAAAGAATACAAGGTCCTTAATAGCAACAGACTTTAATTAATCCTTAAGCAAGGGATATTTTTACCATCTCCTTAAGAGTTACACCTTTCTGTAACCATTAGCACAAACACCACTGTGTTTAACCAAGACCCATGGACACTATTTACAGAAATCAGGACAACAACAATAGACATGCTAGGGTAGACAAGGAAAGAAAGTCCAGGAAGCCTCAACTCTACACAAAGAATTAAAGGCTACTAAAGAATGCAAAGTGAGATAATAGTCTTCCCCAGGGATACAAACTGGTTATCCAACACCAAAGGATCATCCCTGAAAAATATATTCAAATAACACTATACAGACTAAGCAGGTTGTATTTAGGAATAAATATATAAACACATACACACATATAATAATAATACATACACACACACACACACACACACACACACACACACACACACACATATATATATGCATGTAATTAAAAAAGATGTCATGAATTTGAAAGAGGATAAGCAAGGGTATATGGGAGGATTTGAAGTGAGGAAGGGAAATAGGTAAATTGTGTAATTATATTATAATAAAAAACAGCTAATTATAAAAAGAAATCAACATTTAACATTGCATTAAGAAGGAATAAAATCATGCTCAACATATTTTATCTGATGGTAAACAAATAACATACACCACACAAGTTACTTGATACATGAGATATTTTAACTGAGATGTAGCAAATGTCTCCTGAATTAGTTTTGTTCAATATTTAGCTTCCAAAAATTTCATCCTGTATGCTTGACACTGGATAGTGCTGAAACATTGATACAAACTCAGATAAAACATGTTCTTTCATATGCTACCCAGTAAAGAGTCACACAGAGAGAGGAGGGAGAGAGGAAGGAGAAGAGACAGGGAGAGAGGGGGCAAGGGTGAAGGTGAGGTCAAGGGTGAGGTCAAGGGCTAGGGAAAATCTCTTTGAGTTGAGGATTCAACCACAGTGAGTAGAGTAGTCCTGGAGTATTTGGAAAGACAGGTGAAAAGAAACAAATACATACAAATCACTGGTACAAAGTACATAAAAAACAAGGGCTCAAACACATGAATACTGCGTGTCTTCAATGTAACACATTTTAATTCCCTAGCCACCTTAGAGCTGTTTTAGACATGAATCTTCTATGGAGTCATCCAATTGGTTGTCCAACTGCCAATCAGAGTTTGTCTTAAAAAGCACAGAGCCAAAAGATACATACATACATGCATCCATCCATCCATATACAGAAAACACTTAGAACTAAGAAGGTAAAACACTGATGTAGGATGTTTGAGATCTATACATAGAACTACTCCTTGGAATCAGGCTAGTGGAAGCTCCATTTGATATGTTCACTACTAAGAAGTAAAGAAAGATTGGCAATTGCCTCAGACTTTGATAGCACCCTAGTCTCATTTCCAGATTCAATGGAACGTAACTGTGTTTGGGCCCTACATCCTCTGCCCTTTCAATAAACCTTCTGTATTTGAAGAAGCTTGAGTGGGTTTCTGCTCCTTGCAGTCATACAGTCTTGACTAAGATATTATAATCAAATTGTGGGTCTAGTTTGATTAGTACCCAGAGCACCCAAAATGACTCAGCTGGAACTGTTTGTGAGGGTAAATGGGACTTACATTACTGAACTGTATGATTCTCTCAGTTTTCCTAGTCTGTGACAACAGAGATTCTGAGCAGGGTAACAGCAACATGCTCAAAGCTTTGTCTCTAAAACATAGTTTAGCTTAAATCTGAGTAATGGATTGAGAGAAGTCCAAAGACAAATTAAGACACTAAGGAAGTGATGGTATTGTGAATAAAGCAGTGACAGTAAGAGGGAAAACATTTCTAAAGCAGAATTCTTTGAGGAGGAAACTGTTTCGACAGCAAAGATAAAAGAGGGACACATGAGTTCTGTAGGAAATCGCTGCAATAAGGACTGTTAGAAGAATGAGCCACTTTTCTTTACAAATGTAGGAATTAGTTCATATAGGTAACATTTGAATCACAGGCTAAGACCACTGCTGGGTGTGCATAGTAACTTTTCAATCAAACCAGAGATTTTGAGAAATGCCCACATATTAGACAGGATGAGAAGCAAATGGTAGATTAGCTAGAATAACATCTCCAAATTTAGGGAAGTTAATGACATGAGCTCTATGTAACTCTATTTTTTGCTGTTATTGTTTATCACAGTCTGCCCTTTTAAATTGAAATTGCTTCAGATTTTCATATGTGAGTACTGTGTTTATATTATTGCCACTCTGTTTTTGCTCTGTAATTCCTCTGTCCCATTCACTCCTTCTAAAATCTATGACCTCTTCTTTAATTATTGTTATGTGCATGTGTGTGTGTCCTACTGAATCAATTTACTACTGCTCATATGTGGTGTATGTGTGTAGGGCTGACCACATGGGATTGGATAACTGACAGGGACCTTGCTCCTAGAGAAGACTACTATTTCTTTCTTTCTCTCTCTCTCTGGACTGCTCTTGCTCTCTCTCAGCACCTCTGAAAATGAGACTATTTGTTATTAAAGTCTGAGGCAACTGCAAAGTTTTCTTTCCTTCTCATCAGTGAACATATCTAGGTTTAGGGATTTTAAAATCATGCTCATCTTAGGGATTTTAAAATCACACTCATCCATGTTGGCATGTCAAATGGTGTGTGTTTATATGACCATATCTGTTTTGTTTCTTTTAGATTAATTTCTGTCATATATAGAAAACAATACCTTACAGTAGACATTCTGGTCCTCTTGATCTTAAAATCTGTTCATTTCCTTTTCTACAATGTTGGGTTCCACAGACTATGTTGAGTGGTTACAGTGTAGCCATATGAACTGTGGTAGGGTATAGGTTATTTTTTTTTTTTGCTGCATTTTGAACAGTTTTGTCTTTTGTAATGGTCTCTATATGTTATAAAAATAAAGCTACACTTTAGTATTTAGAATGCTGAGAATTCATAAATTATAATGGTTTGGGGATGTGCCAATAGGAGAGTTTCCTCTAGGCTCCATGACCTTACTAGCCCAGGGTAGTTAGCTAAGTTTACAATACCTGTCATGAATTCTCTCCAGTTGAGGTGGTAACTCCAATTAGATAACTGTTGGTTGTCTCCAAGACACAAGGGCCACTGTTGCTCCACTGGGAGTGTCTTGCCTAGCTGGTTATTCTGGTTTGTAGGCTTTACAGCTTGACAGGACTATCGATTGCTTTGGTCTCTTGGCAGTTTTTATGTCCCCTTTTTAATCTATGAGAGCTAGTTCTCAGGGAGGAGGCTTCTGGGTAAGTTCCAGCCCAATGTCTAAAAGTCCTCTGTCTGAAGTATGTGATTTCATAAAGAGTTTGGCTGTATCTTCAAGTTCTGGGATGCAACCAAGGCAGTGGCAATGGCCTATGTTATTCTTGGAATCTCTTGAACTCACCTGATTTATAAACTTATAGGAGTTTCCCATGCTTAGCACTAAGGCTTTTGCTTTTTTTAGACAACATTTGGCTCTTATTTAAAGTATTATCCCTTCACTGATTATATATATATATATATATATATATATATATGTAAATATATAAAAATATATGTTTAAAATGTACATATATACAATTTATTTATGTACATATACAATTTATATATGTGTATATATTACAAATGCATACAAACACATATATACATATTTTAAAGTAAATATAAACTGTCTTTCACTTTTTCAAATGTCCTTAGTGTTATTTATCCCTCCTTTCATTCTCATCCTTAGTCTTCACCCACTGCCATCTTCCTAGTTAAATCTGCACCCCATCATTCTACTTTCTCCCTTTACAGAACATGTGTCCTACTGCAACCCTCTCTAGAGCTCCTTTTCCCTTCTCATTGTCCCATTTTAGTGACTCCAGGTCACATATTCACATCTAAAGGACAACGGTAGAACCTGAGTCTTGATTACCTATCTTACTCAGTATAGTATGCCCATCTTTTACCTACAAATTTCATTCCTTTTGCTTTACAGCTGAATACAATGTCATTGAGCCATTTATTCATTGATGGAGATTTAGGCTCTTCACATTTCCTATCTATTGTGAATAGGGACCACAAAGATGAATGAATAGGTGTCTATGGAGCAGGATGTCAAGTCATTTGTGCATATGACAAGGATCATATGATAGATCTATTATTAGATTTTGAGAATTCCCATGTTGTTGTTCATAATTGCTCCAATGGTTTGCAATTCTACCAAGAATAAATGAGGGTGGTGTATGTAAATACAGTACTTGGTTGAAAAAAACTTCAAGGAATCATATTATATTTTACCTAAAATTACATATAATGAATATAAGTATATGTGTTTTAAATGAAGTTATGCCACATGGGCTGATGATGTCTTTTCACAACAGCTATAGATCATGTCTTAGTTACTTTTTTATTGCCATGAAGAACACCCTGACCAAGGCAACTCGTAAATGAAAGCATTTAATATGGTGCATGCTGGGAATTTCAGAGAATGAGTCACGATAATCATGGCAGGGAACATGGCAGCATCAGGCATGGCACTAGAGCAGTAGCTGAGAACTTACATCTTATCTGCAAGTTCAAGACTCAGAGAGAGAGACTGGGCCTGGTGTGGACCTTTGAAACCTCAAAGCCCACTCCCAGTAACACACCTCCTTCAAACAAGCCACACCTCTTCATTCTTCCACAAACAGTACCATAAACTAGGGACCAAGCATTCAGATATATGAACTTATGAGGGCCATTTACATTTAAACCACCACAGACCATCTGCTAACAACAGTAAAAAATGAAAACACCCTTTCAGGTTGTTGGTCAGGGGAGTTCAAAAGACTCCTCCAAAATATAGGCTATTGTTGTTGACCTTGGTTGCCTCCCTGATTTTGAAGGTAGGTTTCTATTGCTGAAGATACCATGCATTTTAGCACAGAGCTTGGAGGATTTGAACTGAATCGGACCTGAAAATGTCCTCCAGGAGAATTAGGTTTCATAGTCCTGGAAGGTGCTATATAAGTGGCCAGTGGAGGGAAAAGTAAATACTCTTAACCATTTGTGACACTTAAGAACTACAATGGCCACCATACCAAGATATCTTTTAGATGCTATAATGATAGGTATGTCTTGGGAGTACCTAACAGCTTTCTAATTGGATTTAACACCTATATAATAAGAAAGATTCATGGAAATGTAGTAACCTATCTTGGGCTAGTGAAATCATGAAACTTAGAGGAGAACATACTACTGCTACTTTACTAAACCAGGAAAATTCCTAACTGCATTCTCAATAGTTGTTTTTGTACTGAAATTAGGGTAGCTTTCACCCATTATCAAAGAGGCTTCTTTTTGCAGCAGACAGATAACATTACATAAAATCAAAACTGGTTGAGTGTGGGTTTCCAAGACACAATGGACAAATTTAGAAATCAAGTTCAATGCAAAAGGCTCAGGGGACATTGCAGATCATAGGGGTAAAAGACTGGAAGAGCTAGAGGAACAGAAAATCTGCTGGGAGATGATGTCTCCTAGAAATGATAGGGAAGCTACTTCCATGATACTTCAAAATATGGTTGCCTAAATAATTCCTGAAAAATGACAATATGAATAGACATGCTAGGGTAGAAGGTGTAAACTTCATGGGGCCCCACTCCTAGACAAAGAACTACCAGCAACTAATGATTCCTAAGAGTGGGAGAATTAGTCTTCTCCAGGGAGGTGCCTCTTAATTGGATATCTAAAACTAAATAGCTCTAAAATCATATACTTACAAGCAACACTAAATGTATTTAGAAGGTTGTATTTATATATTTATGTATCTATATAGGTATGAAATCATGAATAATTTAAGAAAAAGAAGTCATGAATTTGAAAAGGAGTAAGGAGTTATTAGAGGGAGAAGAGAGAAATGATGTGATTATATTTTAATTTTTAAAAATTCCAAAACAGAACAAAAATCTCAGCTAGAATTATTTAAAAGGACAATATGAACGATGTTCACCATTGTAAAAGCAAAAGTATGCATGAAATTACAGAAAAGATAGAAGGCTGAGATTTTAAATTGTAAGAAAGAAGTACATACTTTAGAATTCAAATGCATAAGTACTTTTTCTTTACTCTTATGTCTAGTGGGGCAACCGTGATACAGAAAGACAAATGTCACATGGTCTCTTCCCTCTGCAATTTCTAGCTCCAAATTTTCAGTTGTGACTATGCAACATGGAGAATGCAGCAATATATAAAAGAACCATAGTTTGGGAGCCTTGAGATGGCAATAGCAGCATATAAGTGACATGAAGTGGGATACAGGAAAAGGGGAAGGGAGAGGTGGGACAATACGTAAGGAGAAGGAGGGATTTGATAAAGTCTCAAGGAATCATATTACCTGAAAGCCTCCTTCCTGATATCTAGCTTCCTTGGTACCACAAATCACTATGCAAGCTTCTAAAGGAGGAAAACAATTAATAGGTAAATACACAATCTTTGGAAATTAAAGAAAACTCTAGTTGGATGCAATACAGGAATATCTATGTCAAAAGAAAAGGTGAGTGAGCCTTAAAACATAAATAGAAATTATTTGATCCCTCAAGCCAGAAACACAAGTAACTATTGATTGTATTGAATACCAAACTGATGGTATAATCACATAAATTGAATAATGTGTAGAGATGGAAAATACAGATACATTGTGGTGATATTGTGTTCCTCAATATATTGTACACCCTAATAAACTTATCCGGGGATCAAAGAGCAGAACAGCCACTAGATATAGAAGCCAGAAGATTGTGGCACACACACCTTTAATCCTAGCATTCTGAAGGCAGAGATCCAGCTGAATCTCTGTGAGTTCAAAGCCACACTGGAAACAGCCAGGCATGGTGACACATGCCTTTAATGTCAGGAAGCAGAAAGGTATATAAGGCATGAGAACTAGGAACTAGAGCTGCTTAAGCTTTTAGGGTTTAGCAGCAGTTCAGCTGAGATTCATTCCAGATGAGGACTCAGAGGCTTCCAGTTTGAGGAAACAGGATCGGCTGAGAAGTTGTCGAGGTGAGGTTAGCTGTGGCCTGTTCTGTATCTCTGATCTTTCAGCATTCACCCCAATACCTGCTTCTGGGTTTGATTTTATTAATAAGACCTTTTAAGATTCTTCCTACAATACATAAACACAATAGAATAATTTTTCAAACATAATGTGGAAAAAAGTATACTAAATAGTATAGAGATTTTTATTATATAAATTCAAGAATATGTTAATATTTAGTTAACATCACCAAAGAACTTTTTTCTTTAACATTGGTTTCAGTGTAAACAGCTTCACTGCTTGAACTTAAATTCTAGAAACAACTTCACTATCCTGGGGTGTGGTGATGCTGAATACAGAAAAGAGGTCACTACAGTTTATAGCCAAGTCTCACCCAACATCTATGAGTCTGAATGTCACTGTTCTGGGGTGTGGTAAAGCAGAATATAGACAACAGTTCATGATGCCTTACAGCCAAGTCTGACCCACCATCTGTCAGTCTGAATGTCACTGTTCTGAGGTGTGGTGGGGCAAAATAAGGACAAGAGGTCACTACACCTTACAGCAACGTTGATCTGCCATCTGTCAATCTGGATGTCATTCTTCTGGGGCACAGAGGGGCAAAGTAAGGACAAGAGTTCATGATGTCTTATAGCCAAATCTGTGCCACCATCTGTTGGTCTGGATTCAAGCTAAGAATAATTAATTCACCTTTAAATGTTTTAAGGAAATGAAAAAAAAATAAATGTTATATGATGTGAAAATTATAGAAGTTCAAATCATTATATGTAAACAAAATATAAATATTTCTTCTCCCCTTTTTAATATGCATAGGTAATAGCTCTTTAGTTTTAAAACGTAAAATATTTGCATTTTTGTGACCCATAAGATAGTGGCTATCTTTGTATATGTTGTCTATACCTGTATAGGATGCCTTTTGTTTCTCAGGTCCCTATATGAGACACTGTTCACACTCATTTTTAGATCCATTTATAATATAGTTCTTAAATAAATTATGCCTCTTTATGTATTTTTATGTCAAACAAGTCACAGAAATCTTTAAATTAAAGGAAGATATGGTGTTACTTGATTTTAGGACCTAGACATGGGACACTGTGCAGTACTTAGATTTCTAAATGGGTATCTGCATTTGCTATTGTTTCTGAGGGTAAAAAATGAAGATGGAGGATATAGACAGATCTCCTGGAAAAGTAATGCTGACAGAAGGTACTACACAGGCCAGGGAGGTGTAGTGGCATCAGTGCTCCTAATCACCTGTAAACCCTGCCAGCTGCAACGCTAGCCAGCCACACAAAAGAGAAACTTTTATTTGCAACTCAAGTCTGTTCAACATGCTGAGACTAAGTGATGACTGAATAACAACAATAATAATAATAATAAATAAGCAGGACACTGAACTTCCTCTAGCACTCAGGGAACATCACAGAAGAGAAGACAGGAAAAACGTGAGAATTACAGGGAGAAGATCTCTGAAACATTATCTCCTGGACGTGATTCAGCCATTTCAGTCACGAACTCTGTGGGAGCCTGTGGGGGTCCAGCTCCTACCTTTCCCACCTTTTCTCGGGTCCTTAGGAGGAGGAGAGAGGGATAAGAACTATTAGGTAGAAAGAGAGACCTAGCTGGTGAGAAGAAAGACAGAAACACAGGATAGCTTTGGGAGGGCCGAGATCAATACCCAATAGCTTTTTCCATTTATTCAAAAGGGCTTTCTATAACAATGCCAAGGGGTGGGGCCAAAGACCTCCCTCTTGCAAGATCAAAGCACACCACACAGCCAAGTGTAGACCCTTCCAAATACCTGGTAGCCACACCAATGGCCAAATCATCCCCTTATGCAACCCTGCTGGGTAAAGCAAGCTCAGATTCTCAGACCCTGAGTAAGTTCTCACTAGGAAACCTCTGTGGGTCTCCAGATCTCCTGCTTCTTAATATTTTAAAGGGCTCCTCAGACCCCTCAGACTGTGTCTGTCTTAGGCCATCTTCTTCTTCACTAGTCAGCCTTACCCAACTTTGAGATACACTTTCCTTCAAGTGTACTCTATCTTAGGTTGACAGGCATCTCTCACTACCAGCCTCTGGCAGGGGAAGGTATGGAGCTTAACTCTATGCAGCTCTGAATCAGGTTCCCACTAAGAGCTTGGAACTACCATAGCATTACTCCTGCTCGCTATGGCTGCCATAGCTCCCAGTAAAGGAGTAGAGGATGACCAAGATGGAATATCCTTTTTGAATGGTTCTAAGATGTCTATAAAAGCTTCAGTTGCACCAAGCCCTTTTCTAAATCAATAAATTCTTGATGCAACCGCATCAAATAAATTAGTAAACTCCTAATGCAACCACATCAAACCTAACAAATGGTTCATTACTATCAACAGGTTAACATAATTCTAGCATGAATATTGCTATACACAATTGCAGTTGTCACAAACTTACATCCAAAAGCTAAATCTCAATAGGACTATTTACACTTTACAAACTTTAGCAAACATCCAAAACTGATCTTTTAACAGAACTATTTATATTTTCTTCTAACAGGACAGAGGGTATATTAGCACAAGTTAAAATTAATCCACTCAATGGACAAGAAAATATTTTTTTAAATTAAAGAGAGTGAGGAATATTAACTCCCCCTTTTCTTTATAATTTTCTAAGCTGCATCTTGAGCCAGGTTAGAAAAAACTCAAACTTCTACTTTTCTACACAAAACCAGTTCCATTCATTCCTATATAACAGTTCCATTCCAAACAGTTCATGAGTCACCACAGTTAATAAAGCATTAGTCATCACAGTTGATAGAGTATATAGATGAAATCAAAATTGTCCCATTTCTGAGATTTGCAAAAGTTCAAAAAGTCAGATCTGATACCAGTCCCAAAGTTCAACTGACAGCCCAAGATAAAGTCCTGGTTCATCAGCTGCCCTGAAGTCTTTGTATAACAGTCCACGTCATAATAACTCTTATGCAAACAGTTCCAAACACGCGGAATCCCATTACCAAAATTTGTTGCAGCTCCCCTGAATACAACAACTCAACTCAGTTCAAACAAGCATCGCTGAAACTTTTGTTCTCAGTTACAGCAGCATTTTATGGCAGTCTTCCCCCAGGAACTTTGCCCCAGGATGAAGCTGTTAGCTCCACAATAGCTAGCTGGTGTAGTCCTTTCAAAAGAGATTTATAGTCAGCAAACAAAAACTGTACCTTAGGCTGCTGGTTTCTCCCATTGCTTTTACAGTCCCAGTCTATCTCTTGTCTTCAGCTTTCAGCCCAGAGATCCTGTGTCTGGAGGTCCCGAGGCTCTCAACCACCTCATCTCATAAGGACTCAAAGTACCCCCCAGCTGCAGCTCTCTATTTAGTACCCTGTTCCCAGAGGAAACCAAGCCACTATGAGCTGTGGCTTCCTCAGGTTCCATTATCTCCTCCACTGGCAGTCCTGCTCCACCTGTGGCCCTTTGGGTCCTGGAATCCTCTGTGCACTGTCCTGCTTTTAAATAACCAAAATCACTCCCAGGGTAGCCACATGGCTCTGTTGCTGGGAGCTAGGCTGCTCTAGGTTTCAGCCTGTTTGCCATTCAGCCTGGAGCACGGCTTTGTGTTAACTCTGCATTTCTCACTGCTCTTACATGCAGGAACACGTCTCATCTGCCTGTCTGTCCGCTGCCTCTCCTGTGGCATCTCTGCTGGGCACTAGCTGCCAGGGTCTGGTCTCTGTGGCGCACTCCAAGCCGCTGCTGCCGCCATCTGCCATTCACCTCTCTTGCGGCACAGCATCTCTATTTAGCTCCTCACTGCAGCTTCTTCTCAGCAGAAAGCTTGCAGATCTTTGCTGCTAACACTGTCTCTGCTCGCACTGCCAATGCAACTTCTCCACCCAGGGAAGCAGTCTCGTCTCTGCAGGGCTACTGTGTCTGCTGTTGTTGGAGGCTTCTGGGAAGCCACTCCGATGACTAAGTTCACAATGGCTGGTAGGTCCCGGATGCTACTTTCTCCATCCCAGGTTCTGCTTGTATGTGAGTGGCGGAGAACTACTCTTACTTTGACTCTTTTATTAAACCTTCACAGTATCCCTGGACCTAAAGCTGATATTCTCTAAACTTCACCAATTTTTTTTTACAACTTTAGAGAGAAAGAAACAGAAACATAGACATAGACAAAGACAGAAAGAGATATTTGCGGCAGCCTAACTTTTACTACCAACTTTTGCCACTCTGCTTTGTCCATATACAGTTTCACTCCTAAAGAATAGAATACCACTGCCTAAACTTTAATTCATAGCAGGACATGCCCCCCTGCTTCTGTGATGCCCCCTCCCTCTTTTATCCTTTGTGCCTGAGTCCCACATTCTGGGGCCATCTCTGGGAGGCCAGCTCCCACCTTTTCCAAGAGAGAGGGACATGAAAATGTTGGATAGAAAGAGAGACCTAGCCAATGAGAAAAAAAGACAGAAACACAGGATAGCTTTGGGAGGGCCTGGAATAATACCCAACAGCCTTTTCTATGTATTCAAAAGGGCTTTTTATAACAATGCCAAGGGGTGGGGTAAAAGACTTCCCCCTTACAAGATCAAAGCATACAACACAGCCAAGTGTAGACCCTTCCAAACACCTGGTAACCATGCCCATGGTCAAATCATCCCCTTATGCAACCTTGCTGGATAAAGCAAGCTCAGATTCTCAGACCCGGACCCTGAGTAAGTCTCACTCGGAAACCCCTGTGGGTCTCCACAGATCTCCCAGAAGCTGTGTCAACCTCTTGGAGCCTGAGCACAGCCTCAGGCTGTGGATTAGAAAGGAATTTATGAGGCCCTACTTCTCTATCTGAGTTTCACTTATGGTGCTATGATAAAAGGTATCTTGGGCAAAAGCCAGTTAGAGAAGAGAGGGTATATTGTCTCTCAATCCAAGGCTATAGCTTGTTTTTCAGGGAAGTCAAGGCAAAAGCTTAAACAGCTTGTCTAATCACACCTACTATAAAAGCAGAAATAAAAGAAATGAATGCTTAGTGCTCACTTGCTTGCATTCAACGTGATTTCTCTACCTTTATGCAGTTGAGGGCTCTCAGTCCAGGGAATGGGGTCACCCACAATTGGCCATGTCCTCTCACATTACTCAAGGCAATTGCCCTCCCTCCAACAGACTTGTTTACATACCAACCTAATTTTGACAATTCCTCATTGAGACTCTCTTCCCACGTGATCCTAGCTTGTTAGAAGTTGACAAATAAAGATAACTATCACACCACCCTGCTAAAGTATTTCCTTATTCCCTGATAAAAACAATGTGGAAAAAGGGCTATCATTAGCTGTATATTCAAAGATGAACCCACCAGATTTCAGTGGGTAGTTCCAAACCCATGGTCATGCAGACAGCACTAGTTAAACTTGTTATAAACTCACACAATCACAAAAAGGCATGGATGTTAAGAGATGAACTTGTAGGAAGGAAGGGAAATTGGCAGGATGGGAAAATAGTAGGAGAGGGTACAGGGAGAGTAACTAGCAAGCATTAATATCACATTAGATAATTATGCTTTTCTAATTATCACATTACAAAGATATTTTTGCTTGATTTACATTAAGATGATTTTATTTCTTGGTCACATAGAGACATAAGCTTTCTCAAAAATTTATCTCTGGGTATGTATAATAAATGATTCTTTCTTCCTTAAACCAAATTTAATTTAAAAATATCAAGAGACACATACCAGAACAAAAAACGTCTATGTTGCCTACTATGCAGAGGGAGTATGAGATAGCTAAGATATTGATTGGAATGATGGCTTAAAATTTATTCATTCTACAATTTAATCTAAATGACATGAGATTTATTCTTTATGAAAAGCCAAAACAGATATTGTATCTGACAAGTTATACTCTCATAACTCCTCTAAGAAACTGTTCTAAACATAGTTTCATATTTACAACACTTGTCTAAATATGAGAATTCCTCCATTATTTAAATGAGACACTCATTGATACCAGTTAATATTGGTATCTTAAAATAAGCATTTTCTTAATCATAAGAAAATGTCCAGAGTTTAAAGTTTTGAGGCTCTGTCTCCAAGGACACTGACAATCATTTTTCTGTCTCATAACTGGAGGATTACTGTGCTTCCTTTTGGCCTCCTCTATCAGTAAGAATGGTGTTCTTAGGGATTTGATGGGAAATCTAATTATGGATCTACTTTGCATGAAGTTTTTAAAGTTTTCCACATAAACATATTAATAAAGCACAATCTTTTATTAATTTGAACTTCAATCAATTAGAAATACCAATTAAAAGGAATGAGAGTTACTAAACTCAATGTACCATTTTCTGTACTAGAAATGCAAAGGAATAGGCTATGAGGTAGATAGATAAAAGATAAAATAGTATATTAATTGCATTATAAGGGATGAATACATTTCTCTTCCAGTCAAGACAAAGTGAGATTCTAGCAAAATGTGGGATGAATAGAGATTGTATAGTTTCATTTTTATCATCAAAGGCATGGCTGTGGCCTTGGAGTTTGGTAGCTATACTTCACTTAGATATTGTTATAAAATATGAAGCATAAAAAGTGTTCAGAGAGTTATAATTTTATTGAATTCATATCACAGACAAAAGAAAATGGGAAAAAAAAAACCCTGTACTGATTTGCTGGTATAGATTTCCTTCTAGATGCTATATGGAAATTTGTTCGTTAATATTTATCTTTGAACCATGTATATAAGATATTTTCTCAGCTTTTTACATTTCAGTTAGCATATGATGAATAAAACATTTTCCCTATCTTCAGTTTTATCCTGCACTGTATCTCTAATAGGATAACTAATTTGAATTTTCTTCTTAAGTCAAGGCTCCCTTTTCAAGATTTAAAGTCCCTTACATTTTGCTTAATAATTTCCAGTCCTTTCATGTTTTAAGTATACTTTATCCTGCTCTTCATTTTGCTTGTTCTTTCGACTTATGAAGAACATGAGTCTTATCCCATATTTTAATAAAAACTTCTCTCATAAGCATTTTTATGTAAAAAGAGTAGCTTTAACTTAGTAGCCTAAAAGGAACTACCATATAGAAAAATTTAAGAAATTATTAAGGTAACTATACCCTTCTCATAAATACAAGCAACTACACATACGTGTTACAGGAATGTCTATCAGTTTTGTGTAAAGGCTTTCCTAATAAAATTCTAATTATTACTATAGAAAATATGTTGGTCTTTCAGAACCTGAACTATTACTAGATCCACATTTCATATTTTAAGACTTTAAATTATCTGATTTTATTGTTATTCCAAATTTTGTAATACCTCTGTCCATCCATATTTTAACTAGCAAAACTGACTGTCGACTAGCCTTCATTTTAATTGTAATTTCATAGAGTAAGATGCATATTACAGTAGAAAGTTACTGGCTTACTCTTCTTTATGAATTATACTAGGAGTTCTTTGTTACCTATGATTATTGGCCTGTAATTAATTTGAGACATTTTATATTGCCACAAAATTATCTTTTTAGCTCTAGCAATTATTAGAAAAAATTATTTCTAGAATGTCAAATATAAAAGAAGTCTCTCTTGAGACACTGAGGATGCAGGAAGCATATACCATATCTATGAGTGGGGATGGCAATGACCTGTAGGCATGGCTTCAGGATAGGGTAAGAAAAGAATGGCAAAACTCCAGGTAGAACTTATCATTTTCAATGTGTATCATTTTTACAAATGTGTGAAATTTTGAGTGTTCCTCCCTAGTAACTATCAGATAAAACTCCAGAAAGCGTCAGACATATAGTGTATAACACAGAGCAGAGCTTCCTAAAATGGGAGACCCGAGAGTAAGGTGGGACCATGTTTTCTTAGACAAAACAGTAACTGAAGATGAGACGGGAACACTGCAGACACATAGAAAGGCAGAGGAAGGGACAGAGAAACCTGGTCCAAATAGTGTTCAAGTAGATCGACTATGACAGCTGGAGGCTGTCCATTCATACACTACCAACAAATATACTTCTAAGAACTGATCAGCAACCGAATTTCACAGTCCATCCAATAAGCCTGCATTTCAACCAGTTCTAAAGGACTCATAATATTCTTTTTATTTTCAGAGTTCACAGCTTAAAGGCTAAGTAGGCAAACGTCTGTGGTTTGCTGTCTGCCCTGCTTTCACCAGCATGTATGATCTGTTCAGTTACTTGTCTTTGCTCTTATGCATCTGACCTGAAACTGCTTCTCCTTGTGTTGACATGAAGATCATCATTTCTTTCCTCCTGATGTGCTTTCCCCTTGTATCTGTATATTTCACATCAGTTCCCAGAATGCACTTCACCTGTTGGTGTCTTTCTAACATTGTCCACACCTAAACTCTCAAAGTACTGCATACTACAGTTTACTTCGCTGCTCCCCTAGAACCTGAAGGAATTAAAACAGATCACATATAATTTGCTAAGATAACATTTATTCTGAAGGCATTTATTTATTTCAAGTAGAAATTTTGTAAGTACATTTCTTTACTTGCCTTTAACCTTTTCAAATCATTGTCAGATGATAAATATTTTCAAGCAACTGCTGAATCATTAGGAAAAAAAAACTTTTTCAATGGTGTCAAGGCTGAGCATTTTATTTGGAGAACTGTGACTTGAGATGAATCACTCCTCTTAAGTAGAAATTTTCAATTGTTTTATTTTGATTTTGGAGGGACTTGTAATTTCAATAATTGAACTTGATTACAGCTGACAGATAATTATCTGTTAATTAGAATTTCTCTATTAGCCTTTTAAAATTTTACTCTAACTTGTTTTCTCAATTTTTCTGAGTGAGTCATATTATCTAGTAAATTCTTTAATTCTTTAAATGAAATTTTTGTGGAAATCTTTGGTAGCTTTGTGAATAGAAATAAATTATGCATCATCCAAAGAAAGTGATGGGTTCAGGTCCTATTTTATTTAGTGCTGCACATATGTATATGTGTTATGACTGACCACTTGAGATT